TTCTTAGTGTGTGATTTCGTTTTTGACTTGGATATGCTCTTAACCATACCACGTATTCTACGTTTAAATATAGCGGCTGTATCTCCGATACAGCCTGCAGACCAAGACGAAGGCGCTGGACTGTTCCTTTTTTTAAATACTAGACTAGTCCTCAATTAAAACATACATATGTATAATATGTTTTGTTATTTATCTTTTGGTTTAATCGTTATTTAAGATTGTTCGTAAGCGTCAAGTTTTACCTAATTTCTAAATAAATATATATATATTTTTAATTTCTACTTTTGAAATTCAGAGTGCTTGAAGCACGTTAGCTTTTTTGCTCAGAAATCCATATTTAAATTATCAAAAACAAAAAACAAAATTAAAATACATGAAAAATTTTACCAACTTTTTTCGTTCTTAGTGCCGTGAACATTCTTTCGATGTTTTATGTTTCTATGTTGTTTAGCTCTAAAAAATATTGNAATTAAAATACATGAAAAATTTTACCAACTTTTTTCGTTCTTAGTGCCGTTAACATTCTTTCGATGTTTTATGTTTCTATGTTGTTTAGCTCTAAAAAATATTATCCAGCGAAAAAAACGCAAAAAAAAAATTTCACATTCAGCGGGAGTTATCACAAATATCGGTTTAGTATTGGTATATGTTTGATATGCTACAATAAATCGATCAAAATAAAAAGTGTTGCCACAAAAAAACTAAAGCTCTAACTCCACAACCTACTTTTCACGTGTATCGACGCATTTAAAGTAAAAACAGAATCAAATCGCTCAGAGAAATTCGTCGGAAGAAAGTTCGCTGCCAAAATTAAAACACACTGCAGTATATGAGATTTCCCACAACCAAAGCGACGACGAAGTTTATCTGACGAAATTCGGCAAGAATAGTAGATTTATTTTTAATTTTGCCGCTGCCGCCGATCATAAAATCAGCTCTCAGTGGAAAAGTAGCTTTGTTTCCTCGTTTTTCTAGCAGATAATCATCAGCAATAATCAGAATGGCAAAATTTGGTGATTCATCTTTTCGGTTTTGTATTTTTATATTTTTTGTTTGTCATTCAATTGATACGAATTTCGTATCTGTTCTGTTTTACTGGGCGAAATGTTGCGGCGAACATCACCCAGCGGCATCGCTCCGATCGACGAAATTCGCACAGCGATTTGGTTCTGTTTATACTTTTACATGGTAGCGCACAAAAAATTTACTTGAAGGGAAAAAATCGTCAAAGGCGATTTCCTAAATTTTTACGCGCAAATGTCCAAAAAAAATCACCAGATTGGCGCTGGTTGCAATTTTCATACTTGTTGTCCTCTATAAGACTAACATGTTGCTAGCAAGCAATACCAAGTTAGTAAGCCTATTAGAATTATCGAGAATATTCTTCTGGTTGATAGTTAAAAATCAATAAATTAGCCAGCGTATGAACTGCACATACCATAACCCCAAAAACCTAACTACATNGGTTGATAGTTAAAAATCAATAAATTAGCCAGCGTATGAACTGCACATACTTAATATTTGCCTTTTCATAACCCCAAAAACCTAACTACAAGGCGACACATGAGCAGGTAATGTAAACGTTTGATTTTTTGGAAAAGTATCTGGTACATTCTATATTCATTGCTATGAACGCGTCTAAAAGGGCGCCCTATTTGGCTAGCTCGTGAGGTCTTTATTTGCCTTACACATCTGATATATCCTGCGACGGTAGATGGATGGTGCTTGGGCGATTTAAGCGTTAAGTTAGCTTTCTTATAGCCTTCTTGCAATATGCGATGATCTTCGAATTTGTATTATAGGAAAGTAGTACTTTAATGACTATGACTACGTATTTAGGTATGTAAATGCCTATCTCGCTCGGTAGATTGATTTGGCGTAGCACCTGAGTAGGTCTCTTTATCGAAAATATCTCGACTTGATAAATACTGCAATGATATAGTAGCCGATAGTCTAAATACCTATGAATCTTCTGTTCGATGCAGTGTACTGCAGCTCCTACTTCTTGGTCCTTGTTAGACCTAGCGCCCTTAAGCTACCCGAAAACTTCCAGGCAGAGACCTTTCGAAAATCAGACGCGGTATCATGTAGTCTATTAAAGAGTGGCGCTAAATTACAGTGACCGTACATACCGAACCCAAACTGCCTCGAGGCATATAGCCTAGTCATGTTCTTGGCTATATTGATGATTACATTGCTTTAGGAGCTATTTAGTTTTTTGTTAGTGTTATAGTTTTTTTTTTCAAAACTAATCAGCCTTATCATGAGTTTCATTTTCCCCGAACCGGTTCACTTTTCAGTTTTCACTTACATGTATTTACTATGGGCGGAGGAAAAATTTTCGAGTGAATTTTTTTTCGAGCGAAACTCGGCATAAGGCGGTTGTTTTTTACACACTCGTACTCCATATAAATAAGTGAGTGCAGATTTTTTTGGGTGGAGTTTTATAGTTTTTTTGTTGTAAATTTCTTTGAGTGCGAAGAGAATATGTTTGTTTGTACCCAGCACTAAGTGGCCTCGTGAGCAGCAGCTGCAGAAAATACAAGCTTAATGTATTTAGGTGCATTAAGTAGAGTATGGCTCCACAGTCGCTGCTGCCGCCTTGTTGCTACAGTAAGGCCATATGAAAGAAAAGTAAAATTTCAAATTGTGCCCATTTATGTAAGACCAATCCCTCACATGCCCCCCTACGTACTGTTAGCGTTGCTCAGCGCAGCCACAACTTCATCACCAATATAACTTTGCTCATTTGCTTTATACTATACTATCCTGTACATGCTGTGCTCATCCACCAAATACTTAGTTGATGTAGTCTACAAATTCATGCACTTGCAACTCAAGCCATAGCAATGACTATTCGTTACAACAACTTTTTAATGTGTACTATATAAGTGTGTTTTTGTTTTTTTTATTTGTTTATTTTTACATCTTCTTTTACATACTTCTTCCTCTTTTTGCAGTGCCTGAAGCACCACCGCAGCATGTCAACTGTACCGCATTGTCGTCGCAAAGTCTAAAGATATCCTGGCTGGAGCCGCCATTACAATTTCATGGTGGCATAATTCAAGGCTATAAAATTTTATATCGACCAATTGTGAATCAAAGTGAGTTCGAAACGCTGCAAATACTTGCACTTACCACATCACGTTTTACACTTATGTATGCATATGCACTCACACTACACCACAAACCTCTCAATCCCGTTTTCCAATTGTGATAGCAGTACATTTGCAACAGTGCCACTTTGCTGGCTTCGCTAGTTAGTAGCAATGCAGTATTAATATGCAGCGCTCAACGGTGGATTTGATGTTCATGCAGCATTTTAACAGTTGCGCGCTGCAAGTGTACCGTTTTGTTGTATGTACGAGTAAAAATAGTACGTGTTTATGCATAGATACGCTCTTAAGTGCATCCAAAGGAAGTAAAAGCGTATTCATGAATATGTGAAAACGATATCCTCATACAAATATGTATAGTAAATACATACACATTTATTTTAGTTATTATGTGTTGTTGTTGGTTTCGCACTCATTCAAATGATAGTTTTTATAATTATTACAATTAAACATATGCTCAGATATTGGAGCTGTATCGTTTTTAAGTTGCTTTCATCGTAATAGCTATGGCGTTTCTATATACATTAGGATGGCTCAGATTTTTGTTACGAAATTCGATACGCGTAGCCTATAAAGTTTTTTCTAAATCCACGTCAAATCGACCAATGGTTGCAATCGACCTTGACTTCGATGAATTTTGTACAGAAATTTTATTTTATTTTATAACTTAGTTCTGACAAAGAAAAAAAAATAAAGTTAAATGTACTGAATGCTCGAAATTTCACAATTTAACGGATTTTGCAAGTTTTTTTTAATATTTCAAAAATTACATATTATATGTAGTTATAAAAAAATGATATTTGAGGCTTTATATAAAGATATATTTAAACATATACGAAAAATTAAAAACTTACTGAATTTCGAAATTTTAAAAATCGCAACGGGAAGAACTTATCTAAACTTTTGGCTCGATTATTTCATACAATATCGAAATTGTCATCAACGCGTTTTTTGATCAATGTGAATTTTTGAACTTAGATTATTTTTTGCAAACTCTAAATTTGAAACATCTTTAAGTTAAGTAAAAATTGTTTAGCATAATTTTATTTCGATAAGAAAAAACGTTTTTTTCAAAGTTCAAAAATTCAAATCTTTAAAAAACAACATCTCCTTGAAAATTTCATGACTATGATTTTTAAGATCAGTTTGAGGCATTATATAAATAATTAAACCATTGATATTTAATAACCATTTCCTTAAAACAAGTTTGTTCAAAAATGTATAACCACTAACCATATAATGGTAGTCAAATACATTTCCGCTAAGTACTTAGTGGCAGTGAAACCAATTTGTCACTACCATTAGGTGCACATATATGCAGCTCCTAATTGAACATTGGCCACTTATTTATTTACCCATCTTTTTTCATTGTTAGTAGCTTGATTTTTTTTGCAAAAAAAGAAGCATGGACAAATCTATCGAAGCTGATATCAACATATTTAAAAAAATAATAATAATTAAAATATGCTATGTAACGTAAAACTCCGAAACTTTCATCCCCTCTCATGAGTACTATAATTCTACGATTTTAAGCGTAAAACGAGAAAAGAAAATATTAACTTTGATCACCTCACGTAGAATTGCTCATATCTAGGTCCATAGGAAAAAGTTTTGAAGGTATGCGTATCAAATTTCTCAGAGATTAGTTGTATCCCGATGTTGTAGGACACGCTAATGTACATATTTCCATACATATTAGGTGCATACTTTTACTATTACTATCACACTCGTAAATTGAAATTGTTGCATTTGAATTTTACGTATCAATATGGAAAACCTGGATGCAAAAGCAAAGCGATTAAAAGTTAATTACTGCAGTTAGGAACTAAACAAAAACCCAATTTCAGCAGCTGCTTTTAGTGCTTCTATAGTGTGTTTATGAATTTAGTGAGCTGTTTTATCGAATTGTATTTGCATTTCTGTTTTCGACAGTTTTTCGATTACGG